TACGAAGAAATATGGGCAAAATTTTGTAAAAAGTATAAAAGCTGAAAAAACGTAAAATAAAATTTAACATATAATGAAATAATAAAGATCTTAGTCAGTAATTATTATTTAAAAAAATGATTCAATTACAAAGTACAAATTTTATTGCGATTACCGTCCAGGTTTTGACTTGAAAAAATATGGTCACTTTATTAACTTCTCGTAATCGCAAAAGAAAATTTTTATATATCTTTACGTTTCACGGGTTTCTGAACATTTTGGCATACCTTAGAAAAAAATGATGTATGTGTGTGTGCGGATACAAATTTCCGTCGACGATTTCAGGGACACCGATCAACCGATTTGAATAATTCAAAAAACATTCGATTGGTATTGATAAGGAGACGTGCTGATTAGTTTTTAGGGAAGGCAGGTCTAGCCGTTCCGAAGGTATGGGGCAAAAAGTGCCCCAAACAGTAACTCAGTTTTTAAGAGAACGGAGCGTCCGATTTTAATAATTCAACCTTTAATTTTACCTAACAAGATGAAGAACCGATTAAATTTTTGGGAAGGCAATTCCAGCAGTTATGAACTTTTAATAAAAATAAGTTAAAAAAATGTCATTTGGCGGTCAAAAATGTTTATTGGACTATGTACATCAAATTAACAGATATTTTATAGAGATTTTAATATTGTGTACACTTTTGTCAAATATCTCCTTTCCGCTTTTTTGCTCTTTATCTTTATCACAAAAAGGCGGAAGGGAGATATTTGACAACCTATTATTTTGGGTTCCGTACCAAGATTTTTAATTACGGTACGGGAAGTTTCCACGATGCCATGCATACAACTAGTTACAATTTTTAGAATATCTGTGACCCCTTATTCTCAAATAGCAAATATAGTAAAAATTTCCACTATATCGTCTTATCAATCTATTACCATGTGTTCATCTCGACTTGACTTAAGGCCGAATGCGCGTGTATATTGTAAAGTTTGTCAACCTCTCGTATTTTCATTCGCCCGTATTTTTATTTGTGTGTTCATTTATTTCTTATTTTTATCTTTTTATTTATTCTCCTCTCTCTCACCACATGTGTGTGCACTGGTGCACTGTTGTGTACATTTATTCCACTCCTCGTGAGCAGCTGATGACTAAATTGATATTATGATATGTCTAAAACATTTTTTTATTATTTTGTTTTTTTTTATCTTGACGTGTTATTTGATAATGCGGCGATAAAAACGGCTCTCCTGAATTTTTATCAACCGACGTTTGGTCTTTGGCGAATATTTTAGACATGAAACACCTTGCAGGGATATTAGAGGAAGAGCTGATGATGTAATTTTTTGAGAAAATAATATTTTGACAGATTTTTGTTGAATTTGGAGATAATTGCTAATTCATATATGAGTATATTTGTTAAATTTGGGCCTATGCCATAAAATGTATGTTCTATACAAACATTTTCAGACGATTTGAAACATTTTCGGAAGGTTTACATTTTTTCATTTTTCAATATCTAGAACATTTTAGAAAATCTAAAATTGTTTTTTATCTACTTAGAAAATTTACAGATAACCCAGAACATTCAAAAATGATCTAAGACATTTTAGCAGTATATAAAATATATTTACATACTATCCAGAGCATTTTTAGATTATCCAAAAGGACATTTTCAAACTATCCAGAATCTTGTCATACAACCAGATCATTGTTAGATTACACAAAACATTTTGACATTTTCAGACTGGCCGCACCAATTTTAGAATAATTATAATATTCTGAAAATGGCTATCCAATACATTTTTGGACTATCCAGAAAATTCTTAGGCTATCCAAAACATTTTCAGACTTGGAAATATAAATAGCAATATGTTTCCAAGTGAAAATAGCCCTGACTCGGCATTGTTGCACCATACTTGCCCTATTACAGAGATTGTAATAAAAATTTATCATACAGAGATGTGACAACTGTTTGGGTTGCCATTTGTAATAAAACAAACGTAGTTTGTAAGATATTAATCACAACAGCTCATAGAATATTGAGAATGAGAACAGAATATTGTCAGACTATCTAGAACATTTTCATACTATCCAGAATTTTGTTAGAACATTTTCAAATTGCCCAATACATTTTAGACCTTCTAGGGCATTGTAAGACTATTTTCAGAATATTTAGAATATTCTTCTTGTCTAGATTATCCAGAATATTTTTAGACAATTTAGAACATTTTTAGACTACTCAAACTAGTTGTACTATTTTCAGATTATTAGAATATTTTCAGACTATCCAGAACGTTTCGTGGATAATTCTCACTTGGTCACTTTTATACTCCCTCCACAAAAATATTAATATTTGTTTAAGGGGGTCTTTCTATGTGACGGCCTGTTTTTTAGGGATGTTTTAGGATTTTTTTTCTACGACCAGTAAATATTTAGAGCTTCAAGTTTTTTATCATTTATTAACACATATTTGGACAGTATAAATATAAAATTTCAGCTAAAAATATTCAGTCAAACTAGAGTTACAGCGCTCTGAACACCCCCGCCTCGAAAAAAAGAGCTCCACTTCCTCCACGATTCCGGCTGATCGGCATATCTGAAAAAAAACTGCCTTTTAATTTGTAGGCATTGATTTTTGATAGACATTTGAAATAAAAGTTGCAAATTAGGCGTTTTTTTTTGTTTTTTGCTATAAAAAAATCGAAGTTTTGAAAATTGATAATAGTTCATTCCATGCGTTTAAATATATTGAGTGTGCCCTGTAAATTTCAAGTAATTCGGTCCAGCCGTTTCTGAGATACAATGGAGGAAAGTTTGAAAAACACAGTTTTGAGAGAAACGCGTTTAAAGTTTCTAACTGCCAACTCAGCGCTCCGAACCGCTCTTTCTTTTACCAGCTGTATGTATCTTTAAAACGACTTCGAATTTTCTAAAATCGCTTTACTACCGTATTCTAGACATGTTAAGGGAGCAATTTATGAAAAAAAAATCGATTTTTTTCAACCCATCACATAGGAAGACCCCCTTAACTTAACATTATTAGAAGTCGCATTAGGAGTTTCACTTCAATAAACATAACTCTCAGATGTCAGACAGAAGTCTATTTACAAAAAGTGTATATAGCTGTATATCGAGAGAACAAGTATAATTTATCACGGGCTCCCTTCTTATTTTTCTTTTCTTGTGGTCTGGGGACCGTGTCGGATGGTCGAATCGTCGACTGGTGCACGGTCATGAGCCCCCCGATGATGAGTCAGAGTCAGTCTCAAGTCAGTCAGTCAGTCGGCGTGTGCTCCCGGAGGCGCGCGTGGCCGAATCGAATCGATCAGCTGTTGATCTGTTGTTTTACTGAACGTCGGTTAATGTCTGTCGACACTTTAGTCAGTTTTTCAATTAACAGTTAATTAATTTATAAAGCAACGAGTGCGGTAATTACAAGTGCACTGAATAGAATTTAGATTTAGTTATAACTCAACATCGTAAATGATTTTTTTAATTTCCTAAAGAAGAAATTTGTGTTTTCATAAAAACCCTTTAGGCTTATTTTATATTTTTTTTAAAACAAAATTTAAAAAAAATTGTGATAATTAATTAAATTATATTCAAGTATAATGTGAAGATTATTTTTAGTTTGGCGTGATGATCAATTGATATGTTTTTTTTTATTTGACAAATAGTCAAATAAATATTTTCCTAAACGTTTAAAAATATAATATAATATAATAGATTAAAAGTGAAATTAAAATTTCAAACGTATTGATAATTATTTAAACTAAATTCAAGCATAATATGAAGATGATGATGTTTTTTTTTAATTTGTTAAACAAGGAAATAAAAATTTTTCTTCAATATTTAATATTTTATATAGTAATTGTTGACATTTATCTATCTATCATATTTGTTATTGCATAAATTGAATTAATTTGTGCAACACATTTTATTTTATCTATTTCGGGTTCTAAAAACGTTTTTTTATTTAAGTGTAGACGTCAACTGTAATCAGTAGCTGTCTACAAAACACGGAGCATACATATGTGATTGTGATTAAAATCGCTCAAGCGCGCGGAGAAATTCTAAATTATGATATTTTTTTTATAATTCAACCACTTATCGTAGGCCTATAATATTTTAGCATGTTATTTCAGACTACAAAATCTTTTATCATAAAAAGTAGAAAAAAAAACTATTGTGTATGGCATCGTGCCTCAAGGTAAATTGCTTGAACACATCTCGTTTAATATATTTCGGGTTCTAAAAACGTATTTTATTTAAGCGTGGACGTCAACTGTAAGCAGTAGCTTCTACTTGGCATAGATTCTGATTAGAATCTCTCAATTGCGCGGCGAAATTCTAAACGTTGATAAAATTTTATAATTCAACCCTTTGCTTCGTATCTGGCTGGACTTGCCTTTGCCAAAAACTAATTAGCACATCTCCCTATCAATAGGAATCGAATGATAATTGAATCATTTAAATCGGTTGATCCGTGCGAACGAAATCGTAGACGAAAAATTTTATCCAAACATACATACACACACACATTCATTTTGTCTGAATGCCAAAAAGTTCAGAAACCTTCAAAACCTGAAGATATGCAAAATTTTTCAATTTCGATTTTTGGCCCATTATTATAACTACCCTGCGGGAAGTTAAAAATATTTTCAACTATTTACGATAAATGGCCCGTCAGATCGTCGCCAAAAACTAGTCAGCACGGTTTTTTTTTTCAACGATTGGAATTTTTAAAATTAATTTCAAATTGTTGGCTAAAATGTGGTCCAAAATTTTCACATTTTCCTGACGGCTGGGCTGCGCTAAATATCAATTACTATAGGCCGACGATTGGGTTGCCTCTTATTTGGTTCAAATCCTTGCTTTTACATCGGTTTGAACCCAGTACATGTTTTTTGTATTTTTTTCCCTACAGATAACCCCAAAACCTTTCCTCCCTTAAAACTTCTTATGAAATAGAGTACGAATTTAGATAGTCCGGGCAAAAAACAAAAGACGAGCTACACTACTTGCGTATGGGTCAACCGCGATCATGAAGGCGGTTCCCCGGGGCGAATTCAGGACTTGCACTTACTCCAGAACGAGCCCCGCGGTTATCCCTAAAGAGGATTTACCGGCGTTAAATTTTTGGTAGTCGGGACGAGCGTCGGCAACAAGCGTATCGTCCTGATCAAAAGAAACTAGCTGTAAGTGGAATTCTGTCTTAAGGCAATTAGGGCATCGTGCCTTGAGGCAAATTGCTGGAACTTCCCGTACCAAAAATTATTATTTTTTTAAAAACGCTTAACATTTTTGAAAAAAATTTACTTCGAAAAAATAAGATTTTTGAGAAACTATAAATTGGACAAAAAATTACTTTTTTTTTAAATTTTTTTTTTTTTTTTTAAATTTTTTTTGGAATTTTTTTTTCTTTATTTTGACATATTTTGGAAGATCTGAACTTTTTTTCAAAGCTATCGTACTGCTTTAACTGCATAGTGACAAAATATAAAGCGCGTAAGCGCCGCGTCGCTGTCTAACGGGTAAACATTGGTACGGAACCTTCAGGACTGTAAACCAAATTCATACTTATTGTTAAAATCTCTATAAAATATCTGATAATTTGATGTGCATATGTCTAATGATCATTTTTGATCGCCAAATTTTGATCGCCATTTTTTTTACTTTTTTCATTAGATCTCCGAAACCGCTAGACCTGCCTTTATGAAAATTTGATCAATTCTTCATCTTGTCAATACAAGTAAAATGTTTTTTGAATTATTCAAATCGCACGCTCTGTTCTCTCAAAAACTGAGTTACCATTTTCGGCATTTTTTGCCCCATATCTTCGGAACGGCTAGACCTGACTTCGCTAAAAACTAATCAGCACGTCTCCTTATCAATACGAATCGAATGTTTTTTGAATTATTCAAATCGGTTGATCGGTGTTTCCGAAATCGTCGACGAAAATTTGTATCGGCACATACACACACATGAAACTGAACATTTGGCAATAAACAATGAAAATTTTTGCATATCTTTACGTTTCAGAGGTTTCTGAACATTTTGGCATGTTTGAGTAAAAATGAATGTAAGTGTGTGTAGTATGTATGTATGTGCGGATACAATTTTTTGCCGTCTTTTTTGGGAGCATCGTTCTACCGATTTGAATGATTCAAAAAACATTCGATTCCTATTTAAGGGGAGGCGTGCTGAATAGTTTTTGGAAATGGCAAGTCCACCCGTTTCGGAGATACAGTGCAAAGAGTGTAGATAATGGCAATTAAGTTTGTGAGAGAACGGAGCATCCGATTTGAATGATTCAAAAAATATACCCTTTGTATTGTCGTAATGAAGATTTGATTAGGTTTTTGCAAAGACGGGTCTAGCGGTTTCAGAAATCCACAAAAAGTTAAGAAAACGCCATTTGGCGGTCGAAAACCAGATACTTTGTAATGAATGGGTATCAAAAGCTTGCATAAAATTTAAAATTTTCAAAAATAAAAAAAATCTCAAATTTTTCAAAATTTTCAAAAATGTTAAAAAAAGCAAAATTCACAAAGAAATTTAGTTTTTCTATTCTGAGCTTTTAAAAATTTTATATCACTGTACGGGAAGTTCCAGCAATTTGCCTTAAGGCTCGATGCACATGCACTAGTTTTCTTTTCATCTGTATTTAATTTCGTACAATGTAAATATTGATGCAATGTTTGTTTAATTATTTTCTTTCGCAAACAATATGATTCAGATTGCATCTGAGAAATTTTAGAAAGATAAAATATTATCTCTGAATATTTCAACAATAAAATATGCGATGTGAAATCCTGTCAATGAATTGCTAAAATTCTAACCAAGGTATGTCAATGTTGACTCAATTATCGATTCACATATAATATATGTAATCAAATTCTTTTATTAACAATGCGATTGTCAACTTGAGGTGATGTTGATAAATAGAGAGAATATCTTATGCAAATAATTAGTAATGCGATGATAGCCATTTTATTATTGTTATTGATATTCAGAATTGGAAGGTAAATTGGAAAATCAATAGATCGTATATTGGAATTTTTTTTCGTGGAGGAAACCAAATCACGAGGTTAAACTGATGGATCATGCCAGAAAAGAAGCATTTTTTGTTAAAAGTTTTAAAAGGATACGTTTATGTTTTCATCAAAAAATAATTTTCTAATTTCATGTTTTCTCGACGTTTCAAGTCATTCTGAATTATTCTGGATTTAGTACACAAAAATTTAGATATAATCTAGAAGGGTATAAAATATATTAATGTTAAATTTATTTATTATTATCGATATCAATAAATAAAACAATCCCTGTCATAATTTCACATTTTAGTAATATTCAATATGTAGTAAATTGGTTAAGGATGTAAGTTCGACTACCATAGCAAAAGAATTAATATTTTTGTTAGATTAAAGTTATAAAATTTAACGATCTTGATATCAAAATAATAAATACTATTTCTGAAATGCATTTCTTAAATTCTATAACTTTAATTTAACAAAAATATTAAGTTAAATAAATAAATTTATTTTTAATTATTCTGGATTGATTGCACAAAAAATTAGATATAATCTAAAAGCGTATAAAATATATTGATTTTAAATTTATTTAGAAAATCGTGGCGATTCGGGGGTTGATTATATCAAATATTTTGGAATTTTCAATTATTTTTAACGTATGTGCAATATTAATATTTAAAAAACTAGCATTTCATTTTCAAACATAACACTCGTATTTCATGTTGTATTTTTTAAATTTTAATTTTATTTAATTTTCATCATTTTCAAAGTTAAATTTTTAACGTATTTTAGAAGTATTGTTCAAAAATCAGTAAAAATGCAAAGAAATTATACATTTCTTGAACAATATTAAAAAAAAAAACTTATTATATTTGATATGTATTATTTCTGTATACATAGTTAATAATTATTAAATTTAGAGTATGGACACCACTAGGTATATAACAAGCCTTAAGATTTTCGTTCCAAAGTAAATTTTGCTTCCATTTTTCATATTTGTTCCACGCATGTCTTCAACATTCAAAGTTCAACAGATGCGAAACATTTGCAACAAAAGCAAAAGTTACAATTCAATTTCTCGGAATAAAAAAGTCATTTTCTAAGCACTGACTCCCCATTTTTATAATTTGTTTATATTTTTTGAAAAGTTCTGTTTCAACTAAATCAGCTCGCAATTTTTCGTCAATAATTCCCAACAATTAATTTAATCTTTCGCATAATTTCTTTTTTGATTCCACTGCTGTTTTTTACTAATTTGCAGAATTATTAATCGGTTAATTGTTTCTACCGATATCACATTGCAAAATAAATATGCTTTTTGTATCTCCGTATCCCTAGTTAAGTAAATTATGTATTATAATTTATTAAGTATTCTAGATTTTAAATAAATAATTCTAGATTTGATATGAAAAAATATAAATATTATATTATAAATCTAATTTCCGATTTCCGACTTGTTTGGCGCCCCCTAAGGTGTGCGCCCGCATTTTTTGCATTTATATATATATATATATATATATATATATATATATATATCACATTATATTATTTTGCGTGTACATGTTAGTACAAACGCCCAACCCCGTGGGAGTCGCAAAGTCCGATGAACCTCACCTGGCTGGCTGGCTGGCTGGCTGGCAAGTAATGTTTTCTTTTCGCATTTATTTTTCTTAGGTATTTTTAAAATGTGCAGACAGAGATGGCGAGGTAAAAGATCAAAGCAACAAACGCGTTGAAATAAACCAAAAAAATAACATAATCTGGACAATCATACGATCCGTTTGAAAAAGATATCAATAGAGGCAAAGCTGACCGACAGGTCGACATATAAAAAAAAGAATGAAAAAATATAAAACCGGTACATTAAGATTGTAAATTAGATAGATATATATAGGGACCAATTCTCGGATAAAATAGACATGTTACGGGTCTATGTTCGTATGATCTGGTAGTAATGAACTGTTAAAAAGCTATTACAGGCGTTTTACGCATAAAATCTAACCTACAAAACGCACAAACCTCAAGTAACAATTTTATCATAAGTGCATCTTTCTGATGTCTCTTTTATAACACATATATGTAAAGTTAGGTTTTACGGGTAAAACGCCTGATCGCACAGCAAAATCATAGCTTTTTGACTATTTGTTACTACCAACTCATACGAATATAGATCCATAACATAACATTACCATTTCTATTTTATCCGAGAATTTACCCTAAATTCTCTAATGTTTATTTATTTAGTTAGTTATTCGAGTTATTAAAAAATTCGAGACTAGAATAGGTGTAAATAATATTTTATCAGGCCTAGTTGCATGAACTTTCTTGGGCTGTGATATCAAGCAGTATGAGATCATATCTATTTGACCATGTAGAGGTCTCCCATGAAAAGATTCTCCTTCGATGATTCAGATTTCTGGGTTATCAGGTTATATTTTTAACTTTTGTAATTTGTTTGTATTATTTGTATATTTGTTGCAAGTTTCCTGTGACTAGGTTCTCTTTGATCCGAAAATTCTGTATATTTATCACTTATTTTTATTCATGTTGCCATGTAGATTTTAGTTTTGGAAGTACAAAAAAGCTCGATCCAACTTTGAAACCCTTTCTTAGGGTAGCAGCCTTCCTTGGGGTACAAAAGCTCAATGCCATGAAGATATCATGACCAATATAATAATACAACTAGTGGTGTATGGCATCGTGCCTTAAGGCAAATTGCTGGAACTTACTGTACCAAAAATTAAATTTTTTAAAAAACTGAGGTTTAAGAAATTTAAAATTTTTGAAAAAAAAGCTGAAAAAAATGTTTTTTTACCTTGAAATATTTTGGAAATTTTGAACTTTTTTTAAAAGTAATCGCACTGCTTTAGCTGCATGGAGACGAAATATAGAAGCGCGTAAGCGCCGCGTCGCCGTCTAACATACAAACGATGTTACGGAATCCATAGAAATGTAAATGGATACACATTATTCAAATGCCCATAAAATATCTGATAATTTGATGTGCATATGTTTTAATAATCGTTTTGACCGTCAAATGGCATTTTTTTAAAAAAAATTTACTAGGTCTCCGAAACCGCTAGACCTGCCTCCTCAAAAATTTAATCAGTTGTTCATCTTGTTAATAAAGTAAAATGTTCTTTGAATT